ATTGTAAGTTGTAGAAGGCTCAAGAGGATGTGAATTTTATTTGTCTTGGTTTATAGTACTACAAATAATAGGTTTGACAAGAAGTAAATGTGTTCAGAATTTGACAGTATTAGATCAGTTTTGGTAGAAGTATACATAAGATTGTACTTTGCTGCAAAATGTTTTCATTAAAATGAAATTATAGGTGATACTAGAGATAAGATATAAGTTCTTGCATGTACTGTAAACATCTGGGAGATTATGCAGCACAATTTTGTTACCTGTGAAAAAGCCCTTTTTGTTAAAATGATGGCCTGCCACGTGACACCCTTGGACAAAAAGCAGTGTGCCATCCAGATGAAGCCGGCTCTCTGATCCAGAATGCCAAAACCATGTTCTCCTTTTGTGCCACCCTGACTGAACATCCAGAGGTAAGGAGGTTTCCCAATATCGCCAGTTGTTCTCTTTGTAACTCAGTCGGCCCCACATGTTAGACAAAAATTACAAAGGTTTGAGAGGTTTAAGAAAATGCCCCTCAGCCAGTTAATAGAGATAGCACAAAAAGGTCTTTGAGAACTAAAAAATTTACAAAAAGATAGCCAAGGTGTTAAAATTGCTCTATGAGAAAAAACTTTTAAAAACAGATGAGAGTTTCTGGGGGCAATTGGATACTGTAGGCTAAATTTTACTGAAAAGCTTGCCTCTATATGACTCCCATAAGGGAGAAACTCAAAATTCGCTGAACTGGACTGATAAATGTAAACAGGCCTTCCAACAGCTCAGCCCTGGGACTCCCTGACGTTACCAAGCCTTTCATCTTGTTCATAGATAAACTCAGGGACATTGCCAAAAGAGTCCTAACTCAGGACATTGGCCCTTGAAAGAGGCCTACCTCTCCAAAAGACTTGATTCAGTAACAGGAGTATGGCCCCCCTGCCTAAGAATACTAGCTACTGTGACAATGCTACTTAAGGAGACAAAGAAACTCGCTTTGGGCAAGTGATTTCTGTGGTAACCTCTCACAGTTTAGAGACTCTTATCAAAACCCCTCCTGAAAAAAGGCTCTCAAATGCCAGAATTCTACTGTCAAGCCCTGCTTCTAGACCCAGAGTCAATGATATTCAAGACTTCTTCAGCTTTAAACCCAGCCGCCCTTATGCCTGATGATGACCCGGAGGAACAAAGGACACCTCTCTCCATGAGTGTGCTGACATCCTCGAACTGCAGCAGAACCTACAGGCTGATCTTACTGACCAGCTTTTGGGAAATGCCGACAACTGTTCGATGGAAGCAACTTCATCCAAAACGACAAACGAGTGGCCGGGGCAGCAGTGACCACCGAAAAGGAGGTACTCTGGGTTAAGCGGGTAGAGCCTGGCACTTCTGCCCAAAAGGCGGAGCTTGTTGCTTTGACTGAGAGGCTAAAACTAGCCACGGAAAAGAGGGTAAACATTTTTTTACTGAAGATATCCCTTTGCTACTGTACATATACGTGGAGCCATCTAAAAATGCTCCACAGATTCTAGATTTGCTGGCAGCTGTCTGGCTGCCTCAATGGGTTGCTATTCCTTACAAGGCTCACCCAACCGGAGATGAAAAATAGCAACCACATCAGAGGGGTCAACCAAGAAAGTAACTGCTCTGATACTAGTCCTCTGACCTTGTCAGAACCAGTCTACACAAAGAAAGACCTACAGTTGGCATCTCAACTTGGAATAAAGTCTCCCACCCCAAGGGGCTAATACCAGTTACCTGATATACAAGTACGGTTACTGGAGACACTAGGGCAGGAGCTGTTATACCGGGCTCGCCAGACTACTTGTTTAGAAAAAAAACTAAACTTGTGGATTTGTCCAGAACTCAGTATTTTATTCCAAAACTCTGCAAACTGACCACCTCTTCGAGCTCTAGATGCCCACAGTGCTTGTTAGTCAACTCAGCCAAGAGCTCTGTGCTGGAGACCACCCGACATCAAGAAATTGTTCCAGGAGAACATTAAAAAGAAGACTTCATGGACATGGTAAAACTTAATTTACAGGGACACCGCTATCTCTTGGTATTAATAAACAGTTTTACTGGCTGGGTAGAGGCTTTCCCTACTAAGTCTGAGTTAGCCTTAGTGGTAATTAAAAGGCTATTGCATGAGATCATACCTTGATTTGGGCTCCCACTATCAATGGGGTCCGATAATGGCCTGGCTTTCATAGCCCGAGTCACCCAAAAGTTAGCCCAGGCATTAAGAATTAATTAAAACTCCACTGTGCCTATCAGCTACAAAGCTCAGGGCAAATAGAACATATAAACCAAAGTCTCAAGGACATTTTAGCTAAGCTGTTTTCAAAAACTGGCGATAATTGGATGAGCCTTCTTCCCTTTGCACTGTTAAGAGCTAGATATACCCCATATGTTTCTAAAATTTCCCCCTTTAAAGCCATGTTTGGGAGGCCCCCGCCATTGGTTCCAAGATTGTCAGAAGACAAATTAGCTAAAATTACTAATCAAGATCTTAAGTCCCTACAGACACTCCAACCTGTGTTGGCCTGGATCCACCAGCTGTTTAGACAAAAACACTTGGACCTGCCTTCAGAGACCAAGGCCTCAAGGACTCCAGTCTTGGTTCGATGTCATCACCATGACTCCTTCGAACCCCACTGGGAAAGACCTTTCACCGTGGTGCTCAGTACCCCCACTGCCATCAAGGTAGCAGAAAAAACTGCGTGGATTCACTACACTCATGTAAAGCCACTGGAAACAGCAGACAACAAGGGACATACTCAGTGGACTACACAACAGACTGGTAACCCTTAAAGTTAAAAATTGACTAAAGCATAGTTAGATTATGCTGGTCATGAACCGTTTTAGCTTGCTTGTTTTCATTTTAATAACATTGATGCCGACCTTACACGGCGGCTTTGGTCCCCCTGTAAGCAAAAAAAAACCAATTGTTAAAGATCTTTGTATGAGAGCCCCCTTCAAGTGAAGCCAAAGTGTTCTCTTTCCGGGAATCAATTCTGCCCTATATCCTCCCTTTATTGGGACCCCTGGCTGGATTCATTATAGTCATGGCTATAGCCCCTTGCCTCATTAACCGAGTAACCCGGTTTGTGAGGGCCCAGATTTCTCAGGTAAAAGTTATGGTGCTACGTCAACAATATGATCCCTTACCCATACAGGACCTTTAAGATTCAAAGTCATCCACAAGAAAAAGGGGAGAATGAGAGAATCGACTCCCCGTTTGTAATGTAACCCCCCCGAGCTATAGAACAGAGCTGTAAGAAATGTTTCACTCCCTAATTCCTCCTTGAGATATCGGAGCAGGACAGGAAGGAATGCATCTGCTAGTCATTAACCACAAGATGTTCTGTCCTCTGTAAAGGTAAAGATAAGTAAAGGAATGTGCTGTTCAAACGAGACCGAGTTGTACCTGGCACTCTGAGATCAGACCAGGACCCTCAGTCTCCATGGTTACTCAGCCCCAGACCCCTCGAATCAGCATCTGCCAAGTCCTGCGCCGTTCAAAATTAACCAATGCGATCTGCTTTTATAAACCTGCTTGCTTCCCGCTTGTGCCCTTAAAAACCTTGCACAAATTCCCCTCGGGGCCCTCCGCACTCGTTTGCCTGGAGGACCCCATGCGCATGGAAATAAACTTTTTTTTCCTCACCAAGAGTTGAGTCCTTGGGGTCTCTTTCCCTGCGGCGTCAGCCCTAACAGTACTGGAGTAAATAGTATTAGATAAGATGCCATTTTAGCTCCGGAGCCCTTTTCCTGCCTTCTCCTCCCAACTTCCGTTTTGCTGAGGCACTCAAATACTGGGGAAGAATACTTTTACTAAATGACCTCATTCCAAAAATGCCTTTTCTGACTAAGAGTGAACCTAATTCCTGCTCACGTCAGCAAGGTTCAGACCAAATAAGGAAATGTTCAGGCCACTCCCAAACCCGGAAATCAGTCCCCATATAATGTGTGACCACCCTGTCCCAGGTTGAGTGTCTGAACTCTGTGTCTGGTAGTGTCATATGGCTAATAAAGCTTGTTTGCCTTGTTCTTGGATGCCACTGATGATCCTTCGAATGTGCAGCAACACTACAGCAAACCACTTATTGTACAGATGCTATTTTGATGTATCTGATTTATAACATTTATCCATCAACACATCCGTTTATTCATCAGTACATTTTGTATGCCTTTCAGGGTAAACTGTAGGCATCAGAACCCTTTACCTCTAAGCACTTCAGCATTAACGAGAGTATAATATTTATTTTCAAGGTAAAACTGACATCAGTGAAAAGCACAAGTCTTACGTGTAAATTCAACAAGACAAATGAGTTTTGCCTGTGTAATTCAAAGTTCTATCAAGATAAAGAAAATTACTGTCACTCTCAAAACTTCCATCAAGACCTTCCTAGTGTTTGCCTCAAATTTTTCCACTATGGTTTGGCCAATCTAGAACCTCATGCACACAGAATCATAAAATATATGCTAAAATTTGTCAATATTTTTCATAAATAAAATGTGTTCAGTATTTACTATGAACTACCATGAACAGCAAGAAGACATCACAGAGATATGTGTGATGTCTTTTCACTGTGAGTATTGTTTTCCAGTCTGATCAAAAGGCCAAAGTCCTGGGCTGTGACTTCCTCTCTTCAGCCCTCCAGTCATTAAGAGGACACAGAAACAAAAACAGAGATGCAAGGGCTGTGTACTCTCTGAACCCTGGGCTCCTTCCTACCCATAACTCCCTCACTCCAGACTGACCTTGGAGGCCTCTCAAGAGCTCCACTCCCACCCACTTCCTTCCTTCTCTTGGGCTTCATCCAGATACGTAAGCAAGTGTCACAATCTCAGCCCAGGCCACATTCAAGTAAGTACAGGTGGGAAGACAGTTGGAAAGAAATGGAAAAGCAGAGGTGATATGTGGTGTTGCAATTCAATTCTGTGGAGGGGTGTTATAGGGCAAGGGTGGAGAGTGGGCAGCTGCTGGAGAAGAAAGCATGAAAAGAGCAAACATCCAAGGCCCCTGAGCAGTAAGGGCTGGCTAGCCAAACAGCACTTACCTGGAACCGCTAGAGTCCTGGAATAATGTTTTTGCCCTCCAGAAAGGATCTGAAGACTGCACTGGAGGTCTTTGCTATTTTCCAGTGGACCTTTAGTGTCTTCCTTATCGGTGAGTCTTCGGGCTTTGGTAAAGAGTGACAAACTATCCAGGTTTGCTTGAGATAGAAGGATTTCAATGCTGAAAGTGGGATTGTCCCAGGCAAACCAGAACAATTGGCCACTCTGGCCTGTGGTCTGACCCGCCTGAGCATGGTATTTGTGAGATCTATGAGTAACTATGTGAGCATGTGTGCCTTCGTATGGGTATGTGCCTATTCAAAGGGCATGTACTTGCATGTGTGTGTGTGTGTGTGTGCCTGTGGCAGAGGGGTACGATCTATGCCAGGCTGTGGAAGGCATGTTTTGGAATGATGGGGAGCGGTTCTGCTGAGAGTGACCAAAAAGAAGGGTTTGGCTTGAATCCACAAGGATTCAAGCAAAACATCAGCAACAGAGACTTGACATGGTAGCACAGGGAGATTCTGGGAACCTGTCAGCCAGAGGAAGTCAACCTTTCATCCATTTCACCAATACTTCTACTATAAACTTTGTGGAAGTTACTTAAATCGCTGGCTATTGTGTTGCAGATGCTGAAACAAGCCATCACTGTGGGAGGGGGTCTGGAAAAAAATCTCAACTGTCCAGTGAGTACTGGCTGAGTCAAGGCCATAGAATGAAAGGACCTTGTAAACTACCATGGGGTCAAGAATGTAGGCAGACCCTCTGAACTCAGAACTGGCACAGAAGCATGCCAGTGAAGAGGGAAGGTGGTCATTCTTTACCTCAGCTCATCACCAAGCTAAAGGCCAGAGAATGGAGAGCTATGGGTAGGGTACCAGTACCCACTAATTCTGAAAAGAACAGTATTAATTAACCTAGGAATAATGGAAAAACTGAAAGAGACCAAGAACACCTTTGTACCATGTATTTTCACATCTATTATTTCATTTTAGCTTATGCCAATCTTATGGGATAGAAGCTATTTTGTGCATAATAATTCATGCTAATGGCTATGCACACATAATGATAGCTAATAGTCATTAGAATTAAATAACATTATTTATCCTCTTTGTTCATGCCAGGTGCTGTTCTAAACACCTTATTAAGGCTAATAATCTGTATTGTACAGACGAGGGAGCTGAAGTCCATGAAATAGAAGTGGTCTTTCCAAGATTACAGGGCTAGGATGGAGGAGCTCAAAGTGGGGTTGGAGCTGCAACTGGGAGTAGAGCTCATAAGAGCCTGAGACCAGCCTATGAGCCCTTTTCTTGTGCCTTGTATTTAATCTCTTAATGCTGGTAGGGAGGCTGGATGTGGAAACTGGAGTATGAGGAAGCCAAGCCTTTTGGATATATCAAAGGTCCTGAAAGCAAGGTGGAAAAGACTAGCTCAGCATGGCCTCATACTGAAGGCAGGGGACCCAGCTGGCCCTGTGTTCTCCACCCTGCTACACAACCTTAGGTAAGCACTCTCCTCAGTAAAAGCTGAGTTCCCTGTTTAGCTGGAGGGGCAACCAACCTTATTGTCATCCCTCTAGCTGTTAGGTCTCAAAAAATTGGAGGTAAATGTCCTATTAAGAAAATTCCTTGTCTGGGTTGTAGCTTCTTCCACTTGGGTAACAAGATTCTTTGGCATTAATTCCAGAGTTCTTAGAAATTTGAATTAACAGCCTTATGCCACCCACATTCAGTTCTTGCCTATATGTGACGCTCTGATGCAGAAGTTTAAGGATACTGGGTTTTGTTCTACAGGTTGCATAACCTTTATCTGAAATGCTTAGAAGCAGAAGTGCTTCATATTTCAGAACGACGGGAAAGTCAGAGTATTTACACAGATTTAATAAGATATCTTGGGGGTGGGTGGGACCCGAGTCTGAAGGTGAAATTCATTTATGTTTCATCAATAACTTGTATGCACAGTCTGGAGATAATTTTATACAGTATTTCTAGTGCACCTTTATTTTGCTTATGACTATCTTATGAAGTCAGGTGTGGAATTTTCTACTTATGGTGCCATGTCAAGGCTAAAAACGTTTAAGATAGTGAAATATTTTGGATTTTCAAATTGAGGATGCCCAAACTGTATTGTCTTTTGTTTCTTTTTTCTGAAGTTCTGGAAACCATTCCAGGGTATTATACATGGTAGGAAGGCTAGAGCTCTACAACTGAGACACATTCTCAGCCTTGTATTGTCTTTTTAGAGTTTTTGAACTATCCCCAGATTTGGCTTGTTACCACACTTTCCCCTTTTCATCACTGCAGCTGTGTTCCCACATAACAGCAGAGTCCCCAAAGCCTAAGACCTGACATCATTCATTAGAATGAAAGAATTATCAGAGAATAATCATTTCTTGAAGTCTACTGCATGCCAGGCCCTATGAAGGCCCAGCATCTCTCCTTCCTCAGTTGAATTCCCAATCTCACTGCTCAGAAATAACAACTGTTAATGTTTTATTTTTGCACATATAACCAGGAGTGGTATCAGATTTAGTACAGATGCATACATATACATGTATACACATATACACATGTATATGGACATGGGTACTATACATATATATATATATATATATGTGTGTGTGTGTGTGTGTGTGTGTGTGTGTGTATGTATGTATATCTATATGTATGTATGTATGTATATATATCCAAGGGACAGTATGATATGGATGTTGAAAATATCCCAGACTGTAGTCCTAGACTGCCTGTGTTCAAGTCTGTGCAATCCGTAGCAAATTATTTATCCTCTTGTTTCTCTCCTTTGTAAGTGAGTATATTTAGGGTGTGCTAACCAGAATAGCTTAGGCATACTGCAATAACACAATAGCCCTGAAATTTAAGTGGCTTAAGTCAGTAAATTCTTGTTTCTTATTCATGCTAGAAGTCCACAACAGGTTGTTGTCAGTCTCTGCTCAGAGTGGACAATAAATCTTCAGGTTGATGAGGGCACTACCAATCATGATGATGAAAAATATAATTTCACAGGCTAACAAAGCATGGTAAGGAAAGCAATAACTGGAAGTGATAAAAATGAATCAAAGCTGGGGATTTAGCTCAGTGGCATAAGCACCTACCTGGCAAGTGCGAGGTTGTGAGTTCAATCCCCAGTACCAAAAAAAAAAAAAAAAAAAAAAAAAAAAGGATTAAAACATATTTTGAACTTCCTTAATTATGAATGAGGTTGAATATCTTTTTGTATTTTTTTCTCTATTAACTGCCGATTGTTGACCTTTGTCCATTTTTCTGTAGGATTTGAGCTGTCCCGTGAAAGACAGATAGGGTAAAGAAGGAGTGGGCATTGTGGGCAAACAGTAGGAAGCACAGGATAAGGCCTAGTGGGGGAGAGCCTTGGGCTATGCAGGGGCTGCTAGTGGTTGTGCAACAATGGAAATGAAAGGCACAGAACTGGTGCTCATACATATTATTAATATTATTATTATTATTATTTTGGTACTAGGGATCGAATTCATGACCTTGCACTTGCCAGACTGGTGCTTATGTTACTAAGCTAAATCCTCAGTCCCTCATACATCTTATTAAATTAATCAAAGAGGAAAGAAAGAAGAATGAAGAAGAAGGTGGGGGAAAGACTGTATAAGGCATTAAAAACCATGGAAAGGAGTTTGAACTTTTTTCTGAGGACCATGTGAAACTAGGACAAGGCCTGGCCCAAGGTGATGGCATCAGATTCACATTTGAGCTTGTTATAGCTCAGTGGAGCAAAATGATTATAACAAGACAGGAGGGAAGTGGCAATACTAGGTGGGAGTCAGGGAGATGGTGATGATTTGGGTCAGGTCAGTATGGTGGAGATGAAAAGAAGATGATTCAAGAAATTGGAGGAGAAGTAATATTACTTGATATTCAGATGTCAGTGAGAAAAAGAGAGCTCAAGACTGAAGGTCCAGCCAGGTGTGGTAGTATATGCCTGTAGCCCCAGAACTCAGGAGGCTGAGGCAAGAGGATTGCCACTGGTTAGAGGTCACCCCGGATTACATATGAGTTCAAAGCCATCCTAAGCTGCATAGCAAGGACCTGTCTCAAAAACAAAAACAACAACAAAGACTGAAGGTTCTGGTGACAGGGTGAGCTGGTGGGGTAGGAGCAGAGAATGCTAAGAAGGATAAAGGCTGAGGGGGCATGAATACAGAGAAAAAACTGTACCAGAGGACCACATTTTGTTTGTTTGTTTCTGGGAATTAAGTCAGGTCTTTTGTTCTGAGCTACATCCATAGCTATTTTTTTTAAATTTTGAGATAGTTTTGTTAAATTGCCCAGGCTAAGCTTGAACTTGCTATCTTCCTGCCATAGTGCAGCCATCCCTGGTCCAGAGGATTTTTTCGCTTTGTTTCATTTCTTTTTTTTATTTCTTCTTTCATTCCTTTCTTTTTTTGAAACAGAGTCTCACTGGGCAGTTGAGGCTGGCCTTGAACTCATAGAGGTTTTCCTGCCTCAGCCTCCTGAATGCTGGGATTACAGGAGTGAGTCACTGTACCCAGCTGTCTTCTTTTTGGTGGAAGGGTATTCTTAATTAGGGCCTTGCTGTGGGGTGTTCTGAGAGGGAGCATGGGGCAAGAAGAAGAGCTCTGGGCCCTTGTGGCAGATGTTGGTTCCAGGGCGTCCCATCCCTTCCCAGCTTACTTCGGACAGGTGGGGCAAATGACCTTTGCCTCTCCTCAGTTGTCTGATCTAGAAGTGGACATTTGGACACTCATTTGGACACTAAAGGCCTTGAGAGGATGTCATCAAAATAAGCCTCTAAAGAAGATAGGGCAGATATTGGTATTTCAATTCTCATGTTACAGATGAAGTGAAATTTAGCAATGATTTTGGTTACACATGGTAAGTTGCACACAAAGGACTCATCCCATGGCAGGGTGTGCCACCTAGGCCCACACTCTCAGGACGCCCTAAGACTAGGCTTGAGCATAGCCTAAAGGGAAGTGGCAGGTGCCCTCTGAAGTAGAGTAGTGCCTTTCTTTAATTCTCAAAGCCAATAGTTTTATCAAGAGCCTACAACTGCTTGCTCTTACTCTGTCCTAGTTATTTTCCCCAGAGGTGGTCAGTCATTTTGAATTTTGTTAGTTCTTTTTGTCTGATATTTACTTCCACATCTCTCAAGTTTACTATTTGGAATTTCTAAATATTACTATTTTCTGATACAGCAATTTTAGATATTGTCCACTGACTTTCTTATGGAAGATGAAAATTTGGCTCTATACAATATCTATACAACTTCCCTCTCCTTCCAAATTTGTTATAGGACAGATTTTAGTTAAATGCCTGACTAGGAAATATTATTCACAACTGAGCTATTTAGTGTACTAGGATTAAATTTCCTTTATTGAGTGACCTATATTTCCTGTTATTAGAACTGATTCATTTTGTTTCTTTTACTATTATTAGATAGCAATTATCACTAATTTGTCCCAGAATCCACATAGACAAATTAATCTTTCCAAGTGTACAAACACTTCAAGAATCTGTAAGTCCCCTTACTCTTATTTCCATGAGGACATCACAGCTGGAACCCAGCAGCTTCCTAATGCATTCTGGCTTCGTGCAAATCTGTCACGTCCAAGGCACTTGAGAAAACTTGGTACAGAATTGAAAAAGGTGCTTAGACTCAGAGATATGTAAGTGTTGGGCTGGTACTTGCACATTCCCAAGAGTTAATGTTCCTTAAATTCTTTTGCTCTAGGGACCTTGCTCATGCTCAATTTCCTCCTTCATTGGTTTCCCTTTTTGCTGTACCTTCTGCCTTCTTTTTTCTTGGTTTATGCTTCATTTATTTATTTGTTTTTGTGGTACTGGGGATTGAACCTAGGGCCTTTCCACTCAGCTACATCCCCAGTCCCTTTTGGTTTTTTTTTTACTTTGAGACAGTTTTCTGGGATGAGCTTAAACTTGTGATTCTCCTGCCTCAGCTTCCCCTAGTGCTGGAATTAGAAATGTGCACCACTGTACTGAATTTATCACCTCATTTTGGTGAAACAAATCCTTTAGTAGTTTTCTGAGAAAGGGAGGAGGGTGATCAATTATCTGAGACTGTGTATATCTGAGATTGTTGGTATTTCGTACTTGATTAAAATTTTCCTATCAAATACTTAGCTATGTCTACAGAAGCTCCTCCAGTTATAATGGGGTCATATCCTGATAGCTCCATCATAATTGAAAATATCATAAATTGAAAGTGCATTTAAGGGCCAGGGATTTAGCTCAGTGGCCTAAGTGCCTGCCTGGTAAGCGCAAGGATGCGAGTTCAATCCGTGGTACAAAAAAAAAACAAGTGCATTTAATACATCTAACCTACAGAACATCACAGCTTAGCAACACAGCACACTACAGAATATTAGCTGATTATACTCAGGATGGAAGTTGCTCATTTATTTTTCATAGAAAGTGAGAGATGATGGTACTGCATATTGCTAGCCCAGGAAGAGATCCAAATGCAAAATTTGAAGTATGATTTCTATTGAATACATGTCACTTTTGCACCATCATAAAATTGAAATACCATAGCGCAAACTATTATAGGTTTAGGACCACCTGTAGTTGAATCTAGAATCTGTTTGGTTCGTTATTTCAGAGAATACTCATTCCTTTGCCCTGTTGTTTATAGGACAGAAAACCTAGGTTTCTAATGCCTTGGCAGAAATTCAGCTAATCCTTCAATTTTTGAGCCTGTGCCTTTTCCCTGCCTTTTGTGATACCTGCTGTCTGCACATTCCAAGTCTTTCTTGATTTTCCAGGGCAAGCAAGCATGCTTCTTGTAGGCAAGTATCCTTATAGGCAACTAGATATCAATTTTTGTTGTTGTTGTTCTAAGTCGATTACTTTTCCCTCTTTAGAGAACATTAATATTTTGCTATTACACATCCATTGATGGCACCTTATTTTCTTTTTCCTTGTGAATGTATATTTTATTTTGTTGTTTTCATTTTTGTTTTTGAGACAGGGTCTCACTGGGTGGTGCAGGCTGGCCTTGAACTCAATTAGGTATTCCAGGCTGGCTTTGAATTCATGGTGATTCTCTTGCCTCAGCCTCCCAAATGCTGGGATTACAGGCACACTCCACCACATTTGATGACAGTTCTGTATTTTTAAAAATATTTTTAGTAATAGTTTTCATGGAGCTCAAGCAAGAAATTAAGACAAAAACTTACAATCAATCTGGTATGTTCAACTAGAAATTGTTTTTGTCTTCTCTAACCTTTATTTTGACTCAAATTCCCACACAGTCTTATACATAGCTGCTTTAAAAATTGGGTCTGGTAATAATTCCAAGTAAACTCCAGTCTCCATGACACATCTCTAGTGACTCTTCCCTAATATGCTAACAAGCAGCATTCATATTTTATTTAAGCTTAATGCAGCCCAGTATCTTATTCTAGTTCAGTTTATATTTTCCTTTGTTTCTTGCTTGCCTTCTTTACACTCCTAACCTTGTCTCAGATGGATCTTCAGTTTCTCTGTATCTCCTTTGCTGATCTTCAGAGAAGATGCAGAAAGGAGAACATGAGTTGGAAGAAAGCTGTCTGACTCTGGAACTCTGGTGGCCAGCAGTGGCTTCATGCCATTAAGCACCTTGCATTCATTCCAAGCTCAGCAAGTTGCTAGGGCAGGTTCTTAGGGCGGAGGGCTCATAGTGAGAATCACAGCTGGGGAGGAAAATGCCTTACCTTCTAGACCCAAGTCAGGGTCCCAAGGCCAGAGAGAGGGAGACTGGGAAGTAGGCATGTGGACCACGTGTCAGGGGTGAAGAAGAGCAAGCAGAGTAATCTTGTGTGAGCATGTGTGACCATGTAATGGCAGAACTTAGGAAGACTGGATCAGTTTGAGGGACTGTTCACAATCCATTCATTCTGGGCTGGGTTCCTTCCAGTAAACATGGTGATCCTTGTCAACCTCTACCTACTGGTGTTCACATCCTACTGGCTTGTTACTGTGTTCATTTTCATCTGGCTGGCTTTTGACTGGAAGACCCCTGAGCAAGGTAAGGGCCCTACTGGGCTGGGTTGTCACATGTCACCTTCTCTTCCCTTTTCTCTTTGATTTTGAGAGGCTCTGGCCAATTCCCAGGCAGCCCTTAGGCCTATCCCTCTCTGGGATAGAGAAACTGAGGGAAATGGTCCTTTCAAGGTGTTGAAAAACCAGGCATGGTGGCACATGCCTGTAATCCCAGCACTCGGGAGGCTGAGGCAGGAGAATTGTTGTGAGTTCGAGACTAGCCTGGGCTACAAAGTGAACTCAAGGCCAGCCTGAACAGCATAGTGAGACCCTGTCTCAAAAAGCCCCCTCCCCTGAAAAGTAAATAAATAAGGTGTTGGAAAGGCCACCCAATCTAAACTGGAGTAGGCTAGGGGAGGGGCAGTTAATGAGGCAGAAGCTTAACCTGTTACAAATTGGCCTGAACATGCCCAAGTTGATCATTATGTAAGAGGTCAGGAAAGAGCCTGCCAGAGGATAGTGGGGCTGAACATGGCTGGGTTGCACTGTGCTGCTTACAGGTGGCCGCCGATTCAACTGTGTGAGGCGCTGGAGACTGTGGAAACATTACTGCAATTATTTCCCCATTAAGGTGAGTAGCTCTGAGCCCCTGCTGGATTCCAGGTCAGCCTTGATTCTGGTGCCAGCAGTTGGGTCATAGAGGCCCGTGGTAGGACCCAGCAGCCCTTTCCCTTCCAGATTTCTGACCTAAAGAGGTGGTCACTTCCCTGGCTATGTATAGCACCCTTTGACTCCACTTTTCTTTACAGCTATTGAAGACTCATGATATTTCCCCCAGCCACAACTACATCCTTGCTTGCCACCCTCATGGGCTGCTGGCTCATTCATTCTTTGGCAATTTTGCTACTGAAGCCACAGGCTTCTCCAAGATCTTTCCTGGCATCACCCCCTATGTGCTCACACTAGGAGCTTTTTTCTGGGTGCCCTTCTTGAGAGACTATGTAATGTCTACAGGTGAGTTGGCTAAAACTTGCGGGGATGGGTGAGAATAAGGCCTACTCTGTGAACCCCTCTGGCTGCCCTTGGCCTACTTCCCTGATAGGGGCTCCTTGCTCTCCCCCTCCCTTGAAGAGGGAAAGATGAAGGGAAGAAAGTTTGGACAATGATATTTTGGCTTTTCCTGCATCCTAGGGATCTGCTCTGTGAGCCAATCCTCTATCAACTTTCTGCTTACCCAGAAGGGCAAAGGAAATATGCTCGTTGTGGTGGTTGGTGGCCTGGCAGAGTGCAGATACAGCTTGCCAGGGTCTTTTACCCTGGTCTTGAAAAACCGAAGCGGCTTTGTGCGCATGGCCCTCCAGCATGGGTAAGGACAGCTCTGGTCAAAAGGAGGGGTGGTACAGTATCCAAATGCCCAGTGTTGTATGAGGGAGGAGTTTTGAAGAAATAGTATCTAAAGAAGGAGGAAGTATGTGATCCTTTCATTTTTTTTTAATTTTTAAATTTTTACTTTAAAGGGGGTAAAGTTAAATGCAACAAAATAGGACATAAGAAAGCAATGTAAGAGATACAAATTTCAGAGCTAGACGACCTGAGATCTTCATATTGTCTATCATATTGTCTCTTGTTTTCTTCCAAATAGTTGTCCATGTCTTTGCATACAGAGGATTCATACAAAATAACATAGTATAAAACTGAACCAAACAGAATGAGGAAGGTATTTCAGATCTTCAGAACTAGACAATAGGGAAGTCACTAATGGCTATCATAGAGCCTCTCATTCTCTTCAAAATAGCTTTCCATACTTTCATGTATATTGAAGTTCAATAAAACAAAACAGGCCAGGGGGAGAGGTTGCTTGGTTTCCCAGTGCTTCAGCTCCCAGCATGGCACAGATCCCAGTAAACACCAGTGGCTCCCATCCTGGGCCACTGGAGCCTGCCACACTCACAGCTGCTCACCAAGGGTGGAGGGGTTGCTTTGTTTCCTGGTGCTCCAGGTCCCAGCATGTTGTGGGTCCCAATAAAAGCTGGTGGCTCCTGTCCTGGGCCACCAGAGCCTGACACGCTCACAGTCACTCACCGGGGCAGAGAGGTTGCTTGGTTTCCTGGCAATCCAGGTCCCAGCATGGAGCAGGTCCCAGTAAATGCTGGTGGCTCCCATCCTGGGCTGCCATAGCCTGCCATGCTCACAGCTGCTCACTGAGGGGGAGGGGTTGCTTGGTTTCCCAGGGCTCCAGATCCCAGCATGGCACTGATCCCAGTAAATGCCGGTGGCTCCCATCTTGGGCTACTGCAGCCTGCCACACTCACAGCTGTTCATGGGCAGGGGTGTTGCTTCAAGCTGTTTCTTTCTAATAAATTGACCATTTCACTGCCCAAGTTCTAAGTTCTGAAATGGCTAACAGACCATAGAAAGACATTTCTTTAGGCTCTTGCTTGAAACCAACAGTGGCAGGAAGTTGCCGGCCTTGATTCAGGGCCAGGGGCCTTTCTTATGAGCTATATCTATCATAAACATATACACTTGTTATTTGTCAATTTAAGATAAATCAAAGAAAAAAGAACAGGAGGAAAGCCATATCTAGGTTGGAGCACAAGCAGGGTCAGGCCCTAGAGGCATTTCTGCTCATGATGAATGGGTTGAAAGCCAACCCTCAGTGTCCTCTCTTTCTGATCTGGGCCAGTTCCTCTATAGAAGGGGACTGGCTACCACCCCAGTTCAGAGGCAACCAAGTGAAGCATTTGGGCATAAAGGGAAGAAAGTCATGTGAAATGCCTGAGCTTGCTTCCTTCAGGTTACTACTGCTTTGTCCCCACAGGCAGCATGGGCTATGCCACCCCCATCTCAAACCACCTGCCCAGCCTGGACCTAGGTACAGCCAGGCTGGGATCTGGGTAGGCTGTGGGTTGACCCAGAGCCCAGTGGTGGACAACATGCCTGCCATTCAGCAGTCTTCATCTTTCTAGAAATTAAAGGAAATGGTTTTCCTTTGCAGGGTGGCACTTATCCCTGCCTATGCTTTTGGGGAGACAGAACTCTACAATCAGCACATTTTCACTGCTGGGGGCTTGGTCAACTGCTTCCAGAAGTGGTTCCAGAGTCTAGTACATATCTACCCTTGTGCTTTCTATGGGCGTGGCTTCACCAAGAACTCCTGGGGCCTTCTGCCCTATGCTCAGCCTACAACCACTGTCGGTGAGTGGGCCCTTCTGTGGGCAGTGTCGGTCTGGGATACAGGGTCTTGTTTGGAGGCTGAACCTTAGCTCTGGCTATGCTCAGAGGCAGGGAGGCTGGCTAAGATGAGAGGCAGGTTGGGGTGAGGGTGGGGAGAGGGTGGGCTTGACGCCTGGAGCCCATTTGGAGTAGTGAGCTACTCTGACACATTTCCTTTTCCCTTCTCTGTCTTCCTTGGCAGTCGGGGAGCCTCTACCACTGCCCAAGATTGAGAACCCAAGCCAGGAGGATGTGGCTAAATACCATGCACTTTATATTGACGCCCTACGCAAATTGTTTGATGAGCATAAGACCAAGTTTGGCATCTCAGAGACCCAGGATCTGGAGATCATTTGACACATATCCTCAGAAACCTTACAACCTTGCTGGGAGATGTGGAGCTGGTGGACACAGGACACATTCTCTTTGGGCTCCCACTCCTAATATGACCAGTTTTCATCATGGAAAGGGGCTGTCCATCTGGTTGGTTTCATACCCATTTTTTCTACTTCTTTCTCTTAGCTTTTTGCCTTTTCCTTGTGAAGATGGGGAGACAGACCCAAGAGGTCCTAGGAGAGAAGTCCTAAAGGCTCCAACATGAGAGCAAGCAGAATTAAAACTGGTGGCAGAATAAAATATCCATCTTCTGATACTAAATGTGCTCCAACTAGTCTGTTTGAGGGGCTGTAGGGTCTCCATGCATATCTTCCTTTCTCTTGCTCTCAAACATTTCCATCTCCTAGCAAAGAGACTCTTGCAGGATCAGATGCCTTGAGAACTAGTGGGCTGTTCAAGGTCCATGACCTTCAAGCCATAGTGATTTTGAGGGTTTTCAGTCACTTTTGAGCCTGTTTCCTCATCTTTCAAAGGGGACTAATAATCCCTCTCCTGCTTACTTCAAAGGTCAAATGATATTGGAATGTGTCCGAATTTTATAAACCAGAGAGCTAACAAAGTTCTCGTCTGACCATTTCACTCATTTCCTGTCCCAGAGCAAACAATGCCCTAAGTTTCATGGCATTTCAGTTTTGAAAAGGAATTTTACAGTGTAGGATCTTGTGTTGAAAGTTTAAGTAATCATACCCTCTTTTTTTTTTTTTTTTTTGTCTTTTTCCTTTTTATCGGTACCGGGAATCGAACTCACGACTGCCTGCTTACAAGGCAGGCGCTTATGCCGCTGAGCTAAAACCCCAGCCCCAATCATACCCTCTTGCTAGCCCTTAGTTCACTCTCAGGTTTCCACCTCATAAAGCTAAGGGCTAGGGCAGACTCAGGCCTTATTTCCTTGTCTTTATTCCACGAAGGATTGTACTTGTCTGGCCCCGTCTCTGCCCTCTCAGAGTTAAATGTGATACCTGGCATCCAGTAGCCATAAAGACCTCTCCTTCTGACTGCTGAGTCAGCCTAATGGTTGTGGTAATGACAAGTTACATAATTTGGCCCATGGACCCTTTGTTCCAACCCTCTTGAGTGGATGCCATTTGGTCCGTATCTATCAGTTTGGTTTAGAAAGCACTGTATATTTACCATGACATGGCATGCTGCTTCTGCCCTAGGTGCCAGCCTCATGGGAGCTCTACACAGTGTGACCTCTAGTTTTTCTTTTTCTGTGGCTTTTTGAACCAGAGATTACATTTTCTCTGAGCTTCCATAAGGTGTCTTTGTTTTCTGGTGCTGGGTATGGAACCCAGGGCTTTGTGCATGCTGAAGATCTGAGCTATATCCCAAGGTGTTTGTAGACCGTTTCCAGCATTCTTGTGACTGGTTTCCTTTTATAAAAAAATCTATCTCTAAGACTGCAGGACCAGCCTGGGTTCAATCTCTTGTCCTGGAGCAGAGACATACCACATGGACTCATCCATAATTCAAGACTCTGTCATCTATAACAGATATTTCAGAAAACAAAACAGCTTGGAGGAATCCAGAATTCAGCTCCTCGCTAAAATATCATCTCAATTTGAAAATGAAGAGATCTGTGTTCAGAGATTTTAAGTATCTCTGAGACAGTGAATACCCAGTTCATTAATACCTGGCCACTGTAGATTTGTCCTAGGCTACAGTGTCACATTCTCCACCTACACAATGAGGACAAAGGATTTTGTGAGAAATGCCTATTGAAGCTGTCTCTGGTCATCTTCCCATGATCCTCTTCCTTATAATGAGCTCCATAGAGCTTCTCCATGGGGCAAAGTTGTGGGTAGTTCAGTAGAATGGAAAGTGTTCAGTATTGGGACCCAGAGCAGGCTGCCACTAGTTGGATAACCTAGGGTGAGATACTTAAAATCGCTGAGCACAGATCTCTTCATTTGCAAATTGAGGCGATACTTTAGTGAGAAGCTGAATTCTGGATTCCTCCAAGCTGTTTTGGTTCTAAGTCTGAAATGTCTATTATAGATGACACGGTCTTGAATTATGGATGAGTCCATGTGGTATGTCTCTGCTCCAGGACAATATTACTTCTGGTAACTATCTAGCTACCCAGACATACGGTTCCAGGAGAAGAGCAATGGTGACAGAGATGGAGGTATGTCACTGGGGCAGAGAGAATGCAATATGTTTTAACTGGAAATTGACACCCCCACACACACCACAAGGGACTGAACACAGGTCCTTTGCACTGAGTTATATCCCAACCTTTTTTTTTTTTTTTTTTTTTTTTTTTTTGGCGATAGGATTTCATTAAATCACTAAATTGCCTAGGCAGGGCCAAAACTTGTAATGTTTTTGCCTCAGCTTCCCAGAATTCTGGGATTATAGGCATATATTACAATTCTTGGCAGACTATCTTCCCTTATAGTGCTCCTTCTGTAATGGATGCCTTGATGTTTCACCTAGCTTACACATGGCCTCATTTGCAAAGAAGCACCTAACATGTAGGAAATGTTCCAATTAATTTCAAGAATGGGGGCACTTTATTTGCAAAGAATAAACCATTAATTTACACAAACTTACATCCCAGTTTATATACATTATATATAGTTTATATACACAGTGTTTCACACTGGATGCTGACCCCCAAAAGCAGCATTGGGCCTGCTCCAGGCCATTCTCACAACAAAGTTCACCCCACTCCATCCTAGCTGGAAGCTCTTTCAATAGGTAAGACACACCCCAACCCTTCCTGGAGAGAGCCCTGAAAGGGATTTAAAAAAAGTATCCTATTTCTTCTTCACCCTAGCTTGGCCTGGGTTCAGTAGGGGACCTGAGGGAACACTTAGGGTGGCCTAAGGACTTCCTGGCAGCAGGCCAATCCTGAGGCAGAGTGAAGTGAGCACCTGGGGAAGAAGCAGAGCTCTAATGAAGGCTACAGCTGCTCTCTCTGTCTGGCTAGGCCCTTGAAGGGGGCCAAACACTTCTAGCTGTGTGGGGAAGAAATAAGGGGCTATGTGGGACAAGGACGGCCTATCCTCCCTTCTGTCTGCTGAGTCTGGACGTCTGAACTTGGTCATTGCCTTGAGTAGGTAACCATTACTCTCTAAGCATCGGTTTCTACTTAAGTATTACAGGGTGACATGCAGGTTGGGCTTTATTCCCTCTAGAGGCCTGCTTTATTCTCTGAATCCCTGTAAATTTCTCTGAATCTATTTGCATCTACTGGAAATGACACAAAACACATGGACCATAGCCTCTGCCCATCTCCAAGGTTTCTAGTCCTTTCCTTTGAGCAAAAGAAATTTGGCTCTGAAGACATGAAGAGAAAACAAAGCAAACACTACAGTTTCCAGGGATCCAGGAGATCAGCAGCTGAAGACAGCTGCCTTTTGTGGCAGACTGGCTGTTGAAGCCCAAGCAACTGGCTGAGGCCCCTGCCATGCTATTCTCCTTTCAACCCCTGTCGTCTGCTTACTCAAAGATGTCCTTGTCCCATTCTCCATGCTAGCCTTGGCCCTCTGGTAAACTCACACCAGCATAGTTACAAACTGTAAATCTATGTCCACAGTCTTCTATCAGTAAACCACTTCACCACTTCGCCAATGCTTTTGCTTCAACAGGGCTCCCTGGCTACCTGTTCCTTTCTTCACTATCCCTTTTCCTCTAGGGTTCCTTTTGAGGGTTCAGCCCCCACCATTCTGGAGAATGGGGTGGGGGTCAGAACACTGTTTAGGGGCACAACTAGGAAGCCTTTTCCTCCTCTCTCCTCACACTCATTTTTTAGAACCAGTCCTCTTTTACATCTTCCTTTCATTCCTGGTGCCAGAGGCCCTGAAAGTATCAAGGTCTCTAGGGGATGGAAAATGAGATAAGGACTCACACTTAGTGTGATGAGAAGTGAGTGGACTCCTGGAAGCTTCCTGGAGAGAAATGAAAGGAACTTGCCCACAAGTGACAGCTGCTTATTTCACTGGATGGGTAAAAGAAATGTGGGCCACCAGTCTTGTGGGTCTCTGATGCCTGCTACTTGGACATGGTGCCAAGAACCTTCTTCTGAACAGAGAGCTCTAAGGCCAGCAGCTGTTTGAAGAGAAACATCTGATTCTTTTGCCACAGAGCCCCTGGCAGTATTACCATCAATAAAAATGTGCATCTTTGGGTTTCTCCTTGGAACCCTCAGGATGTTAGTTCTTTATTAGCACCTTGATTATTTCTCTCTTGTGTGTCAGACCTGGCTGAAACCCATGTTTGTGTTTTAAACTGGGTGACAGCACAGTCAGGCACCTCAACTCCCTGTGCCTCAGCTAAGCATTAGATATCTCTGTCCTGTCCTCTTCAAAGGAAATAACAGAAAGTACTTTCCGAATTTTAAGAAGCAGTTTCATCATTTTCTGCTACAATTGCATAGTGTCTAAGGCACTTTACAGGACTCCTGTCTAAAGTGTACTTCATCTCGGGTTGCAGGGGTGTCATTAGCAACCAGACATTGAAGGCCTGGCCCACCACCTTGTGCCCAGATCCTTGAAAGGCCAGTGTGGTTGCTTAGAAGGGGAAGGTACAGTTCAGAAAGAACCGCCTATTGTTCTTGGCAGATTTCAGCTATCTGTACAAGGGTGACAATCCCAGCTTTGGGCCAGACCTAGCATAGGTTGCATCCATGTAAGACACTTGAATGGTCCTAGTATATGACCAAATGGGGAGCTTGCGGGTAGGGGAAGGTGTCTGTGCACTGAACTAGAGGGTAGAGCCCTGTATGTGCCGAGACTCTGGATGCTTCTAAGCCTGACTTCAAGGAGCAGCACAGATCTCTGCAGTAACGATGCTCTGTCATAGTTTTCTGAAGCAATTTGGTCAGGAAGCCACTGACTGCTATCCTCTCAAATAAAGTCTGACTTAATGATCACTAGGGCTGCAGAAAACTTAGAGGAATGTCCCCACGGATTCCTACCTCTTGCTCTTTACTGTGAGGTAGAAAAACTCTGCCTTTCTGCTGCCTGACCATAGTCTAGGGCAATGATGGTGAACCCTTTAGAGTTTTCAATGATAACAACACCCCACTGTGGCCTATATACCATAGGTTTGCCATCGCTGATCTAGGGTTTGGGAATTTAGAAATTTATTATGGCAGCTGCCTCTTATTAGACCTTGAAGGGATTTTTAAATATCAGCTAGTCCAATCTCTTCCCTCCAGACGCAGCTTGATTGTAATCAGATGAATAATACCTGTATTAATGGAAAATTCACTTTGTGTCCAGGTAAGTTAAGGAATATTTCAGACTGCTGTGAGCACAGGTCCCTGGTTAAGCACCTGTCTCAGACAGAGGTAGGCTCTGTGAAGAAAAAGTATAAGAGGAGTTGTAGTGAGGCTGGGTGGGGGAATGGTGATTGGGAGGGGGCCCTAGGAAGCATAGAGCATAGCTGTAAACAAAGTGAGAGACATGAGGCCCCAAGCACAGATTCAGCTTCCTATCCAAGCAGGGTTGTGACCATTCCTGTGATGGTTCCAAGGGAGAACAAAGCTCCTGAGTCTGGAGCCTAGACAGCTGTCACAGTATGGCTCTCAGCCTAAGTGGGAAGAGCTTTCTGAATTCTCTTTAAGGTCATAGTATAGAGGAGCAAGAATGCTTCTACTGTCAAGGATGCCTGCTTGGTCTCTGCCACAACTGTCTACCTTTTCCCTCCCTAGTCCTCTCCTTAGCCTGCAAACTAATGCTACCCCATCATCAGCCTAGCCAACAGAGAAGCTTAGGCCCTCGTGGGGTCAGATGGGTCACCCCCAGAGTCCGGAGTGCACCTTCACTTTATCTGGCCTGCTACTCTGGATCCTCACATTAGTGCAACAAATGGTAAAACGGACAACAGGGACCTCAGGGTTGAAGAGTTATGCCTTAAGCTGGTCAATGTAGAGCCAAAGAAAGTTGTGCTTCCTATAAACCCTGGGGCTCCATCAACTCTTCTGTGAACTGAAGGGCATTATGGGAAGTCAAGTAGGCCCTGTCTTCTGGAATCACTTGGGAATAAATAGCACTGGGGCATTTTTCTCTGACTGCAATGCCAATGTACCTCACTCCACAGCAGCACTTAAAGGTTCTGGGAGTCCTGGCTCCCAAACCTGGGGCAGGGGTATGGGTGAGGGCAAAATGGAGAGAATCTAGGATGCAGGGGCTTCACCCAGCCTGATGGCTCCAAAGAAGGTTGTGTGCTTGCTCATATTGATGGAGATATCAGCATGCACCATCTTCACAGCGATCTTCTGCCGGGCCTTGAGGAGGCAGACACCCGCAGTATAGCAAGTGTTGTAGTTGGTCTTTCCTGTTTCGATGCTGCGGGTGCACTGCAGGAAGGGCTTCTCATCTACCACCACTTCATAGCTTGCGAAGTCAGTGAAGTTGATGTAGTAGACCTGGGTGAGAGGCAACAAGAAAGGATTGGGGAAGAGAGGAAAGAGAGACTGGGGGCCCTCCCCTGTGGTGACTAGACAGAACCTTCTCTGATAAACTGCCAATATATCTTGGGGAGGGGTACTGCCACTTGAAGAAATGCAACAGGGCCAAAAGTCAGAGCAGGGTGACAGGTTTATAGGTTTTCCTTCCCATAGTTCTCGAAACTCAGATGTTTAAACAAACCTTTCTTACAACAGTGTGCCTGTCACAAACTCTGGGAGGACAAAAACTATGTCTTGTTTGCCCTGTCATTACATATCCGTCTCCCTACTGCTGGCAGGAAGCACAGTGGTATGCATACCTCAGATGCTCAGTCAGTGTTTCAAACAGAAACTCCCCATTTCAATCCCCCAAGACTGTGACTAAGCTGAGAAGTTACCCATCTGGGAGCTAAAGATGGTGGATAGATAAGCAGCAGAATACAGAGGCTCCCTGAGACAGACAACTCAGATGCCAGAATCAAACATCATGGGGAAGTCCGGACAGAGGGAAATGGATCTTCTCAATCCAGGAAAAAATTAAAAGGAAAACAACTGGTCAAACATGCAGTCCCATTGGAGCAGCTAAGATTAGTGGTCACAGTGCCCTCGTCATAGTGCCCGAACTCGCACAGCCACTGCTTGCCGAGTGGCCCAAACTCCCACTGCTGTGACTTGCTAGAACTGTGGTTGTGCTGAAGTCAGAGGTTGGCGAGCCCAATGAAGAACAGAGTTGGCAAGAGACCTGCGGTAAGTGCTGGGAATAAGACCCTGCCACGGGAAAGGGTTGACCAACTGAACAACATGTTAGAATTGGAAGGATGGGCAGGAACAAGGAACAGCAGTGACTTCAGTCTGTTGTTCCCTTTCCAGACCAGATTGGTGGGATATGCTTGGCCTGGGTCATGCCTCTGGCCAGGACCCAGTAAGTCATCCCAATTCAATTTTTTATGCGAAGTGCACACTAACGCAGTGAAGGCCCCCACAGGTTGACTGACCCAGAGGGGAGAAGCCAGCATATGCTACCCCTGCTTGCACATCAGTGACCAACAGCAAACTGGAGAGGACAGAAAACCCTAGCCAGCATGCTTCAGAAGAACCATAACCAACAAGGAAAGGGCTGGGACCTCCTCTATATACCTGTATGGAAGAAACCAAAAACATGACAAGAGAAAAAAACATGAAAAAGTCCCCAGACCCCAGTCCTGAGAGCATCGATCCAGGAGAGGTAAATACAAAAGAGGCTGAGGGCAGCAAACATGCAATATCAGACAAAGCATCAGTGGACATAAACAGATATACTCAGGACCTCACAGACCAGCTCAAAAGTGAAATATTTAATCAAGTAAAGCAAGATGTAAGTAGGTTAATAAAAGAAATGCTAAGCACTTCTCAAAAAGACACAGACGGAAGAAGGGAGGATGACAAAAAAAGGAGAGAATATAAAGAAAACCTAGAATACACGAAGCAGATTCAAAGAGATTATCAGGAAATTAAAAACTCCATTGAAAGCTGGCAAAACTGCTTGAAAGAAACTAAGGATAGATTATCAAAACTTGAAGACAGGTTTGCAATATGTGATCATGAAAGGAAAGATTTCTTAAAAATAACAAGAAAACAGGCAGTAACAACACAAAGGCTAGAAAAGGACAAGAGGATCTATAACTTAAGAATAAAGAATGTGAATGAAGGAGCAGTAGTAAAAACAAAGGAAATACAAAGGCTATTCAGAGAAATAATTAAGGAAAACTTCCCAAGCATAGGAAAAGGAAATGATATTCAGATGTATGAGGCATACAGAACTCCAGCCAACTACAACCAAAACAGAGCCACACCCAGACATATAATAATCAAGATCCCAGAAATTCAATATAAGAACAGAATATTAAAAGCTCTCAGAGAAAAGAAACACATAACCTATAAAGGAAAACCCATCAAACTCATGGCAGACTTCTTGACACAGACCATCAAATCAAGAAGAAAGTATTCCAAGCCCTAAAAGAAAATAACCTCCAGCCCAGATTGATGTATCCTGAAAAAATGTCTCTAGAAATTAATGGAGAAACAAGATGCTTCCAAGACAAAGAGGAACTGGGGGAATTTGTGACCACCAATCCAACCCTACAGAGAATATTGAAGACATTCTAGAGAGAGAAAAAAGTACCAGGATTTCAGGAACAGTGGCAGAGAGGCCTCAATGAATGGAGCAGAAAGTGGAATGATGGAAACAAGCAGACAACTAGTGGCAGAAAAATAGTACAGCAGAAATGAGGCAGAGAAGTTTGGCTATAATCTCTAATATAGATGGCCTTGATACACTAAAAAAATAAAAGAAAAAAATAAACACAGGCAGAGTAGATCAAGAGGCAGGGTCCACTGAGATGCTCTATGTTGAAAATATAGTTAACCTGAAAAAGTATTTAAAGACTGAAAATCAAATGTGGGAAAACAATGCTCTATGTGATAGGAAACCAGAAAGTAATAGGGGCTACTCAACCAGCACCTGCAGATACATTGGAAAGACAAGTTTTGTAGGTAAAGGAATACAACTTGAGATCAAGTCCAAGAGGGAAGAGGTTTTGAACCACTTAGGTAAAATAGCAGGTTGGCCCCTCAATTTAAAAACTGAGGGAGTTGGTGGGCCCCCCAAATGCATAGTGCACCATGTGGGAGTGAAAAGGGAGGAATAATCTAAAAAAAGAAGGCAGAGAATATTGTTAATAGTGTATCAGGGTTTAAAACCCATATTACTCACACTGCTCTGTTTAGAGAAATCATATTCTGTCACAGTTTGTCTACTTGTACTAGACCTGAGGGCAAAGACAGCTATCCCCAAAATAGCAGGATATTGTATAGTAATCATCCTTAATTCCCTATTAACTTAATCTGGAGCCATGTATAACTTATAATGTTTTACCATGTCTGATCTTAGTTGAATCTGGTTTGTTAGATTGCTGTTTGGTATCGATGGATTTTATTCAAAACTGTTATGATTGATAGTATCAAGTCTGAGAGTATAAGTAACTACACTGAAGATGACAAAATTCACTATGATACCCATTCTGGTTTGATTATTACTTGCTTTTGAAATTTTACACTATCTACAATATTTTGTTTTTATTAATATTGTTTTATACTGCTATATATTCAATTATACTATAACTGATGATATAGACAATTCTATGGAAGATAACAAGAGACAACACAGTAACCATTGTAGATTATCTTGTACTGTGGTTTTATATGTCTTTTTCATTTCATGTGTTTATAGGAATTTTTTGTTTTGTTCCTCCCTGTTATAGAAAGGATAGAAATACATGCAGAGACATATGCGTGTGTAGAACCTATAAACAGTTTATGAGAAATGATCTTATAATGCATGATGAAATGAACAACTACTTTAAAGAAAAAGAGACAGTACAGTACCTACTGCTGATCCTGTGGTATCATGATGGGAAATCCAGCAATACTATTATTCTTTGTTCAGAGTGATTTTAACCTGCTTTGGTTTGTTTAAACTTAACATACATGAAGATACAAATAACTGGATGTATGTTTAAGTGTGTAGGACTGATAACCATATTACTAAGTTTTCGTTGGATAGTTGAACAGAACCGTTTGCAGTCTCACTGTTTGAATGTCTACTTTGTATGCTTCACTTTTGTAACTTGAACAACTATTTGTAAGAGGACAATATGTAATTATCAACTAGTGATTTCTTACTGTTTATTTTTTCTTTGAAATTATGTATTAGGGCCGGGGGTTTAGCTCAGTGTAAGTGCCTGCTTGGCAAACGTGAAGCCATGAGTTTGATTCCTGGTACCAAAAAAAGAAATTATGCATTATTTCTACCCTTTTTCTGTTTTGTTTATTGTTTCTTTAAATAAAAAGAAGTCACCGATCCCAGTAGAGACTTGCTACTTCTGCTCTCTTTAACAGAAGTTCCCTCAGCTTCAGTGGCCCCTTGCCATGGTTGAGCCTCTTTCCCTGAGTCACAGCACTCCTGACTCCTCATCTTATGACTGAGGAAATAGAGCCAGAATGATGGACATCTAACTACCACATCTGATATAGAATAAAATTGGAGGGGCAAAAATCAGTCCTCTGATTTTACTTTGTGGCCAGGAGGAACCTATGCTCAATGGCTTGATATTGTGAGAATATCCTAGCCTTGAGGGACCATTTCTAAGTCTCTCTTATGTCCAAAAACTTAAGTTTTACCATATTTTGTTACCCTTAGACATTCAAGCTTTGATTCTATGCCACCAAATAAAGCTTAGTCCATAGGACATTGGGGCTTATATCCACATGCCCTATAGGGGTTGGGACCTTTATCTGATACTGTAAATCACGTTATGAGAAAGGTGACTCCCTTCATGGGCTCTTTGAGTGGGAGCAGTGTATATTTAGGTGCAATATAATCTCTTGGGTCAGGACTAAACTATGCTGGAATGCTCAGTATGCCCAACAAATGACTGCTAACCCACCTTCTCTGGCCACTGTCCTGTGAAATCCATCTGCTGGCTCCAAGGTCCTTCTGTCCTGCTTGCTGCCCACCTCAGGAGTCCCAACCTCAAGGGTCATCTACCTCCAGCTTTAAGGAAACCCCCAGTGGAGGCACACAATGAGGAGTGAAAATAGATGGACACTAGCAGACCTGGGGAATGGGCCCACAGCAGGAAAAGGACAAAGGCAAAGGGAGAAGGCCCAGGATAATGACAGCAGAACAGGGACAATAATAACACAAACAGAAAGACACAGAAACAAATGGGAGAAAGAGAAAGGGAAGGCAGTCAGAAATCTTTTTGAGGTGGAGAGAGGGCCCGAAGGAGTACAATTTATTCTAATGCCCAAGCTAGCAGCATTGTAGGGAAGCATTCCTAGCAGCCCAGGAACTGGTTTTCTAAAACTGCTGAGACCAAGTTCAAGTTGGAGAGTAGAAACAAATAGTTCAAAAAGGAAAGAAGAGCCTGGCACCCTTTACCAGGTAATCAGCAGGGTATGGAAGGGACCTTTTTTCACAGTTTTTAAATGTTTGGCTATGGGGGAAGAAATGAAAAAGAAACAGCTCCCTCCCCTTTCAATTCACTCCCAGTGGATGGCCCCAACCCCCTCACCGGCCAAAGCAGCAAGTTTGCCATTGCAAGGTTTTGGCTGGCTCCACATCGCCCCCATGTGGCCTGAACCAGATCTGCATTCTGGATATAAGAAGCGTTAGGCCTGAGACAGTACTCACTTCTACCTGACTATAGATGAAGTAGGTGCCGTCCACCAGTACCTCCAGCTCCCCACTGCGGGGATGTAGCTTAAACACCTTGGGGTTCATAGTGATGCGAGACCAGTCATTGAGCACTCCACCTGAAAGATCTCAGTATGAGAGAAGGGCAGTCACTCAGTACATGTCAGAATAATCTGGGCAATAGAAACAATACCAAGCAGTACACAGCTCTCCACCCCTGTCCCATGTGACTGAGATGGTCCAGCTTCAATAGGAGCATCTGGGCACCAAGGATACAGCTCAGTGGCATAAGTGCCTGCCTGGCAAGTGCAAGGTCTTCAATTTGGTTCCTGGTACAAAAAGAAGAAGTAAGATGAAGGAAGAAGAAGACAGAGGACAAAGAAGAAAGAAAGAAGGAAGAAGAAGAACAAAGAAAGAAGAAAGAAGAGGAACATCTGGAAGTACAGTGGGTATCTGGGCCTGCTTCAGGGATCCTGGGGTCTGTTTATCCGTGTTTATCCCTCCTATCCTGACCCTTCCATGTGGAAAGATTTTTAAAAATTTTATTTATTTATTTTGGTCTTTTTCAGTCAGGGTCTTGCTATGCAGTTCAGGCTGGCTTTGAACTCACTTTGTAGTACAGGCTGGTCTCAAATTTGCAACAATCCTCCTTTGTCAGCCTCCAGTGCTGGGATTTTGGTCGTGCACCACCACACCTTGCTGGAAGGATCATTGTAACCAACACTTTCTAATTGGAATTTGATAGGAAGGCACCAATCACTGCCCTATTTTCTTTGTTATTATGGTTCTTACACAGGCAGAATTCAGGCTCTTAGTGGCAGGGTAGTTCTTATTCAATTTTGCTTCTCCAGCCATACTGCCTGAATTCCTCTACTGTCTCACAGGTTCCTAAGTTTTCTTCTTTTCCTTGAGAGATTCCTTTCTACAGCTCTATCACATTCACTTCTTTCTGTAAAGCTTCTCAAGGTCCCCTGAAAACCACTCAGTCCAAAGAACTGTGTTTCTAGAGGATCTTCAGAGATCAGGGATGATTCAGCCTGCATGGCAGCTGGATTGTGTAGCTGCCAGTCACAAGGCCCCATAGGTGAGAGGAATCTCTACGAGAGGGGGGCATAGACCTCTGGGTTGTAGTACAGGCAGCCAGAAAGATAGGGGAGGGTCTCTAGGGGCTGAGGCACCCTTGGCAAAGCATCTATATTTTAGCTTTACCCCAATCACAGGACATTAGTGTGTAAGGGTAGAGGAAAACTGCCCTTCCCAGCCTTCAGAAAGAGTAATGTTGCTTCCCACCATGAGAGAAGAGAGCTCAACCCTGTAGAACCTTTTCTCTCTCTGCCACCTCTTTTCACTCAAGAGATTATGTTCTTAACATTCATCTATGCTCAGTTCAGCAAGCCTGCCTCTCTGAGGTATAAGAGGCTTACTTTTGGCCTCCTCACTATTTCTGATGGGACAAAAGGTCAGCATGGACTACTACAGAAGGACTAGAAATAGTCTTGCCCTATGGTAGTATAAGTGAAATCAGCTGCTGGCATGGAATAAACACTGAGTCCACCACTGTAGACACCCAAACAAATTTATTTCCTGTCTGTCCCAGTCCTCCCTGGATAGACGGTGATCATGGCTCACCTAGGGCCCTGTAGTTCACTGCACCTGGTCCCCAGCAGGACTTTTTGGTTTTCGGTGCCATTCTGCTCCTATTTATACTTCTGAGGCTATTAAGTCAGGCATCCAGGTGGTAGTCAAGAGTGCAGTTATGTTCCACCGTTAAGGAAGCACAACAAAGCCAGTTCGGAACCAACTTGCCTCTTACTGCAGAAGCTGTCTCCATGGAACGGGGATCTCCACCTTCACTTACTATTTCTGTACTCAAAACCCCTTCCTTCCACTGTAAGCCCCCTAAGCACCTTGGCTAGCTCATTCTTCTCAAGGCTTCTAGGGGTTCATCTATCTTATACTTTGGGCATCCTGGGGACAGGACATTATTTCAAAGTACTGTTCATTAATGAATGTTCATGTCTCTTTGGGGAAAAATAAACTTAACCATTCAATGGAGTATATATAAATTGGAGTAGCATAGCAAAGTAAAAGAGTCAGTGAGGCATAATATTGAATCTTAGCTCCTAAGCTTATGAAATCTTGGGCCAGTTAATTAACTACTCTGGGCTTCAATTTCCATCTCTGTAAAAGGGGATTTAGCTCAGCGGCATAAGCGCCTGCCTTGCTAGCAGGCAGTCGTGAGTTCGAACCCTGGTACCGATAAAAACAAACAAAAAAAACAAAAAACAAAAAAAGGACAAAAAAAGGAACTGATACCTACCACATAGGGTAGTTGTGAGGGTCAAATGAAGATACACAAAAAAACCACATAGGAAACTAAAGTACCATGTATACATGAGGTAGCATGATTTATTATGGTACTATACAATCTCTCAGGGACTCTGCTTCCCCATCTTTTAAACATAGGGATTATATTAAATCAGTGTTTCTCCACTTCATTGAAAACATTCTCCTTTTAATAGACACTAGAATATATCTATATGTCCTGGAGATTATAGTATGCCCCATTTCCCTGATAGACGTGCTCCTTCCACCCATTTTCCATGTAGTCATCACACAAGAAGAATTTAACTTTATGTAGTGTTCCCTTTTCCAATTTGTATTGTGAAAATGCTTATAAAACTACGTACGTCTCCATAGTGACTCTGCTGTAGCCTCCATCCCTCAAGAATATTTAGGTAAATGATGTTTCAAGTCCCTTTTGGCTCCCTCACCAGTGAATTCTAAATGCAATTTGGGTACAGCAACTGGTCTTGATGAAAGCAGTTATACAGGACAGCCAGCAGAGGGCAAGATGAAGTACTGAATAGCCTCCGGTGCCAAGGGTGCCTCAGAGGCCTGGGAGGAACTAAACTGGGTGATTATTTGGAAGGTGGGGATGAGAGAAGGGAGCAGCTGCTTTTAGGGGAAGCCCACTTTGATTCTTACCATTCTTGACTTGAATTGCTGACCCTTGGCCCTGTAGATGCACCACAGCCGGCTGGGAGGATAAGGATAGAGTCGTCACTGTTATGGCCACTTTGTTGGCCACAGGTTTCTGTTTCTATTCTGGGTTTCTAGACTCCTTTTGTTTCCCAACCCCGATCCTTCTCCTCTGTCTTGGGTTGTTAGTGACTGTATTTCTACTAAAGGGTAATATGATTTTGTAGCTCTGCTACTTCCTCGCTGTGAGACCTCAGCCAAACGTACTGCCTCTAAGCCTCATTTCCCCAACTGTAAAATAAGAGTTATAAGAATTGCTGTCTGGCCTGTCTCACCAGGATGTTTGAAGATCAAATGAGGTGATGGATATAAAATTGCCCTACAAAACCATCAAGCCCTGTGCAGCTGTGTAGATTTATCACTGTGGCCAAACAGCTGTCGTGGGGTGGCTGTGCTGAGACAAGGCAAGGCCAGGCAGCAGAACCTGCCAATAGAGACAGATTAGGGAGCTCAAAGACTAGGGAGGAGCCCTTCAACCCATTAAGGGAGAAACTAGGCTGGGCTTGGCCTGGAGCTTCTTGGCTGTTTTTCAAGGACATAATCTTAAACTTCTCAGCTCTGATCCCAGGCATCTGAGTGCCAACAGGATGGCTGGAGAGTTGGCAGCCCAGGTGAACAGGCCTGATTGGCAGTTCATTTCTGCTGAGTACTGAGCTTGGCTGTGGTGACTCTTACTCTCTTGGTGGAAGGAAGAAAAATGGTCCTGGCCAGATTAGGTTCCCTTAGCTAAAGGGAGGCCCTACGGCAAAGCTTTCGTATTCATAGACATAGGACAGGGATGTGAATGAAAATCTCGGAACCTCCAGGGAATCCTAACAAAGTAAGGCCTCAGAAAATTTCATTGGGAACTGACTTAAAAGATATCACTAAGCCTATAGCCTTCCCTCCTTCCCAGAAAGACAAGAATCCTTAGCCAACCTGGTTTTCTCTAGTTCCAGCTTTATCAGCAGCACCTGTAAAATAAGATATTGCAGTCAGAGGGCCTGTTCTTTCTGCTGCCCTTTTGGCTCACCTCAGCAGCCGGTGGTACTGAGCCTTACCCCTTGCAGTCTGATCTAAGCTTCTTTCCCTAAGACTTAAAGCTGGAGGAAGAATTCAAGTACAAGGCAGGATCCTTGGATGGGAAAGGACACCTCTTATTTCTCCTTGGTATCCCTGACCTTCCTTTTGGGGAACAGCACAAGAGAGGGAAGTTGGTCTTTTGCCAATACTAGCACAGGCAAGCCCCACTGAACATCAGTGGAGGGCAATGAAAAGGCACCTGCTTCTCTAGCCTTCTGTTTGTTCCCTTTCTGTCATCTTCAGAGAGCCCAATGTCATTTATAAAGAAATTGTTTCTTTGTCTCTCTTCTCCTGTAGTACATACTCCATGAGAATAGGGATAGCTTAGCCATATACATAGAAAGTGCCCAATTAATATTTGTGGAATGATTGGATGGGGGAAGCTAATTCTGTCTCTTGTGGCCATGGTAGCACTCTTAGCTCTTTTTAAATTACAAGTTAGAGAATCTGAGGTCTGCTGCTGAATTTTGGATCTTGTAAAATCAGCAATGAAGTGTTCATTTCTTTAAAACCCCAAGATACACAATGGGAGCAAGAGAAAACATAACTGACATAAATCTAGGTATTCTGACTCCTGTCAACTTCAATTAGGCAAGTTTGGATCTGCAGTTATACCTTTTGGCTGCCCTCTGGTCCCTGAAGAAAGATGCAAAGGGATGAATGGTTTTTAAATGGGCAGTGTGATGGGCCAATGAGCTAGTTCCTGAAGCACTTGGTTCTGGGACAGGACAGCCTTGGTCCTTGGGTTTGCTGCACCCATAGCTTGAGAGACTCATAAATTTTCAACTACTTGACCATCAGTGACTACTTCTCTACATCTATGAGAAAGGCACTTCAGAGTTCCTGGGACAAAATTATCCTAGGGCTTGTCATTGTGTCCAGTTCCCAACATTCCTCCCCGAAGATTATTTCCAAGAAAACGTCGGTATGTAGAGTTCGATGCCGTGAATCAGAGAAGACCAAAACCATCGTCATAAGAATTCTAATGAGCCACCAGGACCTCCGGCTCAGGCTCTTATGAGTTTACTACTGGTCCGTAATAGGAAAGCCTAGAGTATGGGAGGAATTATGATGGAAGTGATAACATGGGGCAAGAACAGGTGGTACAAACAAATTAGAGCAGGTCAGGGCCTACTGGCTTGTCAAATTCCTATCTGTACACTGGGTGAGGAGATCTGTATTTGTTATTGTACACCAACCCCAGAACCACTATTGGAAACTGCTCCCAGAGTCAGCCATTCCTGCTCTGCAAAAATATTTATAAAGTTCCTAGGTAGGCAAAGAGACAGGGAAACTTACCAGAAGGTCCCTGGAGGCCAGGGAGTCCTTGAGGACCAGGGGGACCAGGAGGACCAGGTGGTCCCATAACAGTTGTTCCTGGAATTCCAGGAATCCCTGGAATCCCTGGAGGTCCCTGAGGTCCTGGAGGCCCTGGAGGTCCTGGAGGACCATTGGGTCCAGGTGGCCCTGTCTTCTTTCCTGAAAAACAGGAATCAATATTACATTTGTAGCCAAGAGTATATTGTCAGGGGTGTACTGTTGGGAGTTTTAGAAACTTACAATGACACAAAGTCAGCTCTCTGAGAATCCCTGCTAACGAGCCAACATTTTTATCAGAAACTACACCCTCCCAGCCATATTTGAAGATATAGAAATAAATGTCCCTCAGCAGTTTCCACTTTCACAAGGAAATAGTCACTCACAGTCTCAGAACAGCAGAAGTACTACATTAAATGTAGAGATTAAAAGCTAAAGAGGTCAGGGAAGACTTCAAAAAAGGAGATTATATTTCAGCTGAGTCCAAAGGATGAGAAATACCAAGCAGTCAGACGTATGGTCACTTTGTGGTTCTTTTTAGAATTGGGCTATTGTTCATGAGTTGGGACTTTCATGATAACTGTCCAGTTTGATGGGATTGATGTGGATAACGAGAGGAAATTGGACAGCCTGACTTCGATAGTTTAAGGAAGGTTCCAGTAGGAGTCAGGATATGCAGGAAGTAGAGGTAAAGTTGGGGTCAGGACTAATTGAAATGAGAAATGGGAAGATGTTTTGGAAATTAAGGATGGGAACACAGAAAGGGAAGGAAAGAGAAAGGAAGGTAGAAAGAAATAGATTAAGGGTATTAAGAAACAACAGGAAAGAAGAGGAGGCAAAATTGTCTTTAGGAAGAGGCAGTAGGATTTGCTTTGTCAGCTGACCTCTCTAAATTCTATTTTTAAAAATCAGTTGGAATTCTATTTTTAAAAATCCGTTGGAAAGGAAATACTGTAAATCCCCTTAGTCACATGTTCAGTGTTTATCACTCCTCATTGCTCACAGTTAGGAAATTGCTTGGTATATTTAACTCCCTCTTGTGGGAATGTAAACTTGTATTCTATTTTTTGTGTAGATAGAAAAGAATAGTTACCATCATACACATAATAATACTCATATACTCAAAGATGGTAGGTTACCTGTCAACCTCCATTTTTATAGGCTAAATAATCTAATTTCTCAGACTCTTTCTTTGGAGGCCCTGTTCTTAAAATTACTATGCATTATATTCATCAGCTTGTCCTCTTTATTCTCCATTATCCTTCTAGAACAATCGCAGGCCTTCTACTTCATATTCCAGTCTTTCCAACATTACCACCAGGGAGTAGTCACATGAAGTGAGTTCTAACTACGGCCTGCCAGTAGCTACTGTTGTTTTCCTCTGCTCTGTGCCCATTCAAGGGCTGCAGGTGCTCACAGGTTTCTGTCTTCTCTTCACCATCTTCTCACAATTTTGTGGAAGTAACAGGAGTGGCAGTCTTATAAAAGACTTGCTAACAATGTTCTCAGTTTGGGTAATATTTTATTTTTAAATACAATACTCTCCAGTCTCACTTTAAAACTTGCTTAATGACTCCAACTCTCTGTTCCTCAGACTTAGAGAGGAGAAGAAACTTGTCCTGATTTATCAAATACCCTTTTAAGAATAATATCTTATATCCAAGAAACAAAATCCTCACAGTAAAGCCACTCAAGAAGCCACTGTCCATGTCTAACTACATTTGCTTTGTGGAGCCTCTTTCCTGGGGGCGGGTGTGGGAGACAAGTCTAGTGACTCCCCTTAAATGTAAAACAATTGCTGCAACTTTGATTATTTGGAGACTTATTTTTTTATACTGGTATGTACAGGGCTGGCTATGATATTTTGTTTCCTTTTCAATTGACTCTAAGCATTGCAAATAAGGCTGGCCGAGGTACTGGTATGTAATCTCTAAAGCTGACAGTCAGTCTACTGTTTCCTCACGTAGAGTTCTATCTAAAAGATATGAGCACAGCGAGATGTTAGAGCCAACAGCTCTGAGAATGTCAACTGGGTATGAACCTCAAGGTAAAGAGGCTATGACTTCCCAGGGCACAAAAATTTATATACCAAAAACCAAAGCAACAGCCTCTTAAAACAATTCAGTTGCTACCTTAATTAAATTATGCAAATTGATCCTTCTACATATCTTGATCTCTGCGTTTTGCAGAGGTGCTTTTCTCCCCACCTGGCTAGCCAGCTCAAGTTACTCCGTAATTCCCACCATCCTTACTGTCATTCATCCTTGAGCCACCGCCTTCTTCACAATATAATAAATTCTGGGAGAGGCCTAGGATCAGGGGCCTTTGTGTGCACATCCTCACAGGGATTGGACTCAGGACCGCTTGGCTGCCCTTCATATGGAATGTGTCTTGGTTTCTTTACTCTTGCTGTGGGTTGCATTGGAAGTGATAGATTAAAATTAACTTGCTGGGATTCCAATAGCGCGTTAAGGAGATTACAAATATAACTTTCTGGATTGTGAGGAAAACTAAAAAAAAGATTACAATACTTACATGACTGTACACAATATTTGGGCTTACCATATTTGGCGCCCAATGAAGAACCAGAGAGTATTTCTTCCATACAGAGCCCCTGTAGCATTAAAGACCTCCAGACACAAGCTTTAGCATTTTCCTCACACTTAGCAGCAAAAGATTGGATCTGCCAGGCTTACAGATCTAGCCAATTTTAAGATGGTGAATAGGAAAACCATCTCCCTTCAGATTTGGGCAGCTTTCAAATTAGACTTATTCAGTGCCCAAGTTTTAATTCTACCTAGTGTAGTGGAAAGAACAATAAATCTGTACCCAGGAGATAAGGATATAAGTAGGCCTCAGCTCTGCCACAGACACACTTTGGGCAAATCCCTTCCTCTCCTTGAGCCTTTGTTTTACCATCTGTGAAATGAGGAGCTTGGCCCCAGTGATTTCTCCAAGTATCCTCCAGGCTGAGGTTTCATAAGGAGGACTGTCTTACCCTTAGCAGCTAGTAAACTTTTCTAGCCTGGTTCAAAAGTTTGTTTCTCCATCTTATTTTGTGAGTGGAGTAGACACAGAGGATGGTGCATATTAGGCCATCTTGAGTCCCACAATTTACAGGCCTACCAGAGATTTTTCCAGTTAGAGAGTGTTCCATGTGTAACACAAATTTAAGCTTCAAAAATGTGAATTGCCTGTAATTGCTTAATGTAATTTTGGAAGAATTACAGGCAGAAACTCCTCTAGTTCAAGAGAATAATGGTTGTAGTGTAACCATAATGTTCACTTCAAACATGTCAGAAGATATTTGAGAAAAAGCTCCTGCTGTGATCTAGTTCTGTAGTTTGTCCTCTTCAGCTTCCCTGCAATTAGGCAAGTATGTTTCTCATATTCATACAGGAAGTTAGGCCCAGAGGAAAAGAGAAAAGAAAAACAAGGGAAAGAGTAAAGATAAGTGATGGCAAGAGGTTGAAATTCATTGTACAGAAGAAGGAATAAGAAAAGAAATGATCTCCGCACCAACCATGACTTTAAAGGATTGACTTCCTTATGTAGATTTTCTAATTTTGTTTAAAGAACACCTCACGATACAAAAGTCCAAAAATATCTGTAGTTAGAAAGTTATTCTGTGTAGTCTTAGATGAGAAGATATACTCATTCCTTTTAAAGCTAACTGCATCAAAGGAGCACTTCCTTAACCTTTTAGTTAAGCCTCAAGTGTTGAGAGAGAAGTGAGCGAATGCACACATGAGGCAGAGAAATGGGTGGGGGGGAGGAGGGAAGGAGAGAGAGGGAGAGTATTAGTTGTGGGAACCGGACAATTCCACTAAAGGATGAAAATTAAGTGAGCGATTCAATTTACTTTTTCAGGCATGTGCCTACTCATTGTGTTCAAGAAAATTGAAATTAAATGGCTTCTAAATCAGCCCAAAGTGAATGTTTAAGGCTGTGTGTATTCTCTTCCCAATAACATCTCATACACAAGGTAGCAGTGCTGGGAAATAATCTGAGTTACAGTTTTTGTGTTAAAGGGATGTGATGAGAATTAAGACTAAATGCTTGAAAAATCAAATTTACTTCATAAAAAAACAGACTACCTTGGTGGTACATGCCCAGGCCCCACAGAGAAAAATTTCCTCACTGATTTCAGCTCTCTGGATGTTTTCTGACCTCACTCAGCTCAGGTCCTGAGGAGGAGGCCACTTCTGAGTTTCTTTACAATAGGGATACAAGTTTGCCATAAGGACCAGAGTACCACAGGGCACGAGAATACCCTAGTGATCACAGATGTGACAAGTTGCACCTGCAGTCAGCCAATCGTTTTTGCCTAGTCTGGGATTGACAATCTATTCTAGAAAGTTCTATAAATCTTAAAAGATAGAATCATTTCACTTAAATAATTTTAATGAAAAATCATTAGTTTCCTCCCCCAGGTCAGAACCCAGAAAAAAATAAAAACATAAACTGATTTCACAGTTTTCTTTTTCTTCTAAGGAGCAGGGAGATTGCCTAATCCTGTCCTTGGAGGCTGTTTTGCTTTGGATTCTCTGCTCTTCAAGTAAGTGAATATGTATCAAGATCTTAGTTAGTCCCATCTCAGATGCAAGGGAGACTTACTCAGCAATGGCCCAGTGGAATTGCCCAAACAGAAGCTTCTTTAAGAAGACTAAGGACCAGAATAACAATGCAGACTACTTTTCCAGTAATAGAAAACCTTATATTGAATTCCTAAAAAGAGATATACCTTTTCTGAGTTTCTGAGAAATTGAATAAGGACACCTTTAGGTCAAGAAACAAAGAACTGATATCTTTCCATAGACAATATACTTTTTTCTTTTTCTCTTCTTTTCTTTCTTTCTTTCTTTCTTCCTTTCCTTCTTTCTTTTTTTTTTTTGTACTAGGGATTGAACTTACAAGCTCACATTTGCCAAGCAGGCACTTAAGCCACTGAGCTAAACCCCTGGCCCTATATACCTTTTTCTCATAAGCTATCTCTTCCCTTCATTCATACCTCATCACTAATTTGATAAAGAAGGGGGAAAAGAGAAAAGAAAAGCAAGGGAAAGAGTAAAGATAAGTGATGGCAAGAGGTTGAAATTCATTGTACAGAAGAAGGAATAAGAAAAGAAAAAACCACAAAAATCATTTTTATATGTTAATATAGAATTAATCCTATTTTTCATGCATCATCACTAAAGAATCATTTCTTGTTCTTTGGAAATCACAATATTCAAGCAGATCATATGTGAATGAGTAAAATAATGGGCAACCAATGTTGAGAGAAATTAATATAAAAATCCTACTTCCTTGGTTTTTAAAAAAACTTGTCTTTTAGTTTTAGAAATGACATGACTTACCCTTTTTCTTGTTTTTGACTGGTCCTATTAGGAAAAAAAAAAAAAAAGAAAACAAAAAATTAAATGACTGAAAATTAACAGTTTCTTCTTGTAGACCGTCCCTAGGAGGAACTTTCAAAATATTACAAATTTAAGAGTGCCTCACAACTGAGGGTCAGGTTTTGGACAATCTATTTCCCAGCTATCAAGTCTCCCCCGTCTGTTTCTTAACTATGGAGGCCATGAAAATTACAAGGATGGATCTTTTCCAGGGAGAAAAATCTTTCAGCATCAGTGTTTGGGGTGAGGGAACTGGTTTTTCTCTGTAGAGATGAAACACCCAAAAATGCACAACTCAACAACCAAAGGACGGCATTCCATTTACCCTGCGAGTCCTCAGGTTGAAGAGTTATGCACTGAGGTGGAGATCTGATATGAAGGCCCCTGTGGTGCAGCTGAAAAGGAAAAGAAGTTGTTTTCGTGGAAGGAGGAGACCAGCAGGAAGCAGCCTGCTCCTTGGTCACTTCCTTGTGACAGTTTAATTTGTCAGCTATGAAAACAGAATACACTCACATGGGGGTCACATGCACTCCCATTGTCATGTACCATAACTTAATGGACACTTTAAAGAAAATGTCAACAGTTTCATTAGCAGTGAAATCACAAGCATTTTCTTGGGAATTGCTCTTCAAGAAGGAAATTTTAATCAGTAGAAGCACTCTGAAAACTCAAGGCATTTCCAATATAGTTAGGTGACAGTTACTCCCTAGACACATGGTTTAGGTCTCTTTCAGTTATTTTATTTTATTTTTTTTGTCTTTTTCGTTTTTATCGGTACCAAGGAACGAACTCACGACTGCCTGCTTGCAAGGCAGGTGCTTATGCCGCTGAGCTAAATCCCCAGCCCCCAGTTATTTTTTTTACTCTCCTAGTGATTCAATTCTCTTCATTCTGCAGATGGAACTGGTGTTCTTTAGATACAGGTATTTAAAATCTGTTTCAAACTCCCATGAAGATAATATTTTACAACATTAAACCATTGCCAGTGCTCTCAGGAGCTTATAAAAAGAACAACAAACATTTGCATATTATTATATAGTGTGCAAAACATAGAATGATCTCTATCTATGACAGCAAGTTCTATTAGGAGTTAGAATATGTAGCCTGGACATTAGAACTACTCAAGCTCCTTAAAAATCCAATGTCGATGCTGACTTCCTGATAAAGCAGTTTACATGTGATAGTGGTATTGTGTGCAGGATCAGGTATCCTGTGCAGTAGCAGGTACTGTGTATTTCAAGTTGAAATGAGCAACCATCTTCACTGAAGGGCATTATCTCCAGTCTCATATAGTCCTTTTTCCTCCTTTCTTCACTTCCTAGTGTTTTGTGGAGGAGGCTGGGGCTGGGGATAGAACCCAGGGCCTTATGTATACTAGGTAAGCACTCTCTGCTCCACTATACCCCAGCCCCTTCCCCCAGTTCTTCACATCAGTTCTTGAAACCCATCCTTTATGTTAACAGCATTGGGAGTTCTTAAGAATGTACATGGAAGATGGCAGGAAAGCACACCTACATAGACACCACTAAACTGAGAATGGCCTCCTCCTTGAACAAGGAAAGCTGTTTGAGGAAGGACTTACACAGAAAATGGTCCAGCCCCTCCAATCAGCTGGTGAGCTACTTCAGTGTCAGAAAGCAGCAAGATAACAGTTGCTGCAGCCATCCTGCCCTGATATCCAAGGTGTGTTAGCCCTGGACAAAGGTTTGGCCATTTTGGCTGGTTAAGGGATAGCATGGTTATATCAAACTTCAAAGCAGGGTTTGAAGAAAGTGTACCATAGCTAGCCAACCAGTCCTTACTGACAGTGCCTAGGGAAGGTACTAGTCAACAGTGAAACACCACTCCATCCTCAAAGAACTCATAGTTGCATAGAAAGATAACAAAAGAAGGAAACTTCAGGGACTATACTGGCTACCTGAGAAAAAAGAACTTCCTGGAGGATGTTTGACTTAAATGCACATGTGAAAAGAGGGAAAAAGAAGTTTTTAAAAAATTTAAAATTTCTATTATTTTTATATCAGATAAACCTTACATTGGTATATATGTACATTACATATACCCCACATACACACAGTACATAAAATGGGAAACCAAAGGGAAAAATAGCTCATTAAAGTACCCATAAATAATCATAATTAACTTTTTATGCATATTTAGAAATTCCCTAAGCATACTTATAACATGTGACCAAATCCAAAATGTTTAATAACCCTTTTCTATATGTCAAGAACTATATTTCTACACTGTCATTTTTAATATGAATGTATCTGATATGTTTTTACCCACATAGATCTGTCAGTCATCATGGTGGAGGTTCAATATGGTGAGGAGACCATAAAAAGACACCTTATCAATCATCTTCCTTTGGTGTTCCAGACCCAAAATAGACTTCCTACCTTTCCTTCCTGCTCACGCCAAAGGCACTCCAATCCCTAGATAAAACATCTTTCTTGCTCCACTATCACCAGCTAGTTTAACACCACCTCAATGAGGGTTAATACAAGAAGCCCCCCCCCAGTCCTTTGTCTAATAAGAGAGCCTCTGCAGAGTTTCCCGTGCCCCTCATTAAAGGCCTCTTCTTCCTATTTTGTCTCTTTTTTATCTCTCTCATTTTCTCTGCACTATCTCAGGTTGAGTGCCCAAAATACTCAGTCAGTATCATCATCTATTTAATCATTTTTGATGGACACTTAGACTGCTCCTAATTTTTCATTATTATAAATAATACTATAGTTAATATTCTTAAGTTACAAGTGTACATTTTTATGTACTTGCCCAAGGAAGTTTTTTGTGATATATCATTAAAAATGGTACAGTTGGATAAAAGACTATAAAAGACTTTCCTTATATGGAATTAAACCTAATAATCTTTTCTATATGGTAACTGCCTCTAATGTCATGCTTGGTTAGGCCCTCCCTAATATATCTATATTTTTCTATTTTTATGATTTCATTTTTATTTTTAAATATGTATTTAGTCTGGTATAGATTTTGGTATACAATGTGAGGTATGGAGTTACCTGAAATTTTCTTTATTTTCTCTGCCAAATGGCATGGCATGAAGAGCACTTAGTGAAACAGAAGCCCAAAGTACTTTTTCCACTTCATCTTGGGCCACAGAAGGGCTCTCTGAGAGCTTCTGCTTAGTAAACATCTGCCATACCCCTTGAGACAAAGAAAAGACACACACATACCCAGCGATTCCCCTCCTGGGTATTTTCCCCAAAGCATTAACATCATACCACAGTGATATATGTGTGCCCATGTTTGTAGCAGTACATTTTGTAATAGCAAGATCTTGGGAACAACCTAAATGCCCACTGACTAAGGAATGGATTAAAAAGATGTGGTATTTTTATATAACGGAGTACTACTCAGCTATAGAGGAGGACAAAGTGGAGACTTACAGACAAATGGATGCAACTTGAGAACATATTAAATAGTGAAATAAATAAGACACACATGTGTAAACATTGTATTGTTTCATTAGTGTGACAAGCTGAAAGAAAAAAACATGTATATGCATATGTATATAAAGTAGTTAAGATAGTTATACTGCTGATATCTCTGAGTTCACTGAAGAGAAAGATTTGTGCTGGTATTGTTCAGACAACTGAATGCAGATGTCTTGTGCTCTGGGTGAATCATTTGGGGATTACAAGGTGCAATTTATGTACCATTGTTGCCTCCTGATTGACATGTTTTGAAACTTTTATTTTCTTCTTCTTCTCCTTCCCTTCTCCTTCTTCTTCTCCTTCTTCTTCTCCTTCTCCTTCTCCTTCTCCTTCTCCTCCTCCTCCTCCTCCTCCTCCTCCTCCTCCTCCTCCTCCTCCTTCTTCTTCTTCTTCTTCTTCTTCTTCTTCTTCTTCTTCTTCTTCTTCCTTTTCCTCTTCTTCTTCTTCCTCCTCTTCCTCTTCCTCCTCCTCCTCTTCTTCTTTTTTCTTTTTCTCTTCTTTCCTCTTTTTCTTCTTCTTCACCTTGGAATAAAATGGATTCAGGAAAACAACAACAAAAACAAAGAAGACACACAAATATACACGAGGTTGCCACTAGAGTGTATCACATCACCCACAGAGGGCTAATGAATACAATTAGCTCAGCAATACTGGGGCTCCTCCATGTTCTAACATACTGCATTATGAGCAGTAAATAATCAGGATTTTCACTGTGGACCCCTAAGCCTTGATGCTGTGTTTGTCATGACCATTCATTTCACTGAGGCCACTGTTTTTTTTCCAGCTTCTAGAGAGAAAATGCTAGGGAGTAAAACTCATCCACACTTGAAGTAAACATCTTGACAGAACAAAAACAGTAACCTCTGCTGAATTTCATGAGCTTTTAGGTATATTGATTTATTTTCTCTATATTTGTCAGGATGTTAGTCTTACCTACTCAAAGTACTTCCACTGTCACATGTCTGCTTCCATGGTAACAAGCTATATTTCTAGATCGTTCCAATTCTCCCTATTTGTTGCCATAATGTTTTTCACAGGCAAAGTATACAAATGCATCAGAGGGGGACAGAAAGCTTTGGAGTGCTGGGACTGAATTGATCATGACATTCACATAAGACATATTATGATCAACAGAGAGAGGCAGTCTGCCTATCTGACATTAATACAAGGGTGTCTTATGACAGAAACAGGGTCCTGGAGAAAAGCAGCTGATCTAGCCAAATTCTATTCTTAACTCAACCACAAAGTGACCATATATTGGCTTTATTGTCTCCTAATTTTTCATCTGCTATACTAGGGAACATTATAAGCTCCCTTCTCTATTCAAGTCCTAGGGTTCTGATGAGAATCAATAATATAAAACCAAAAGCTAGAATTGTCTATTCAGTGATATTATATTTCAAAAATGAAGTAGAATCTGGGTATAATGGCACATGTCTATAATTTCCCAGCACTTTGAGAAGCTAAGGCAGGAGGATGACATATTCGAGCGCCATCTGGAAAACTTAGCGAAACCCTGTCTGAAAA